ACTTGGGCGTCAGAGTGCTAACGAGCCCTTTTTGGGCTCAAGAGGCGCCTTTGCGTGCAGAAGGAAGCATGCAGGAGGGTCGACGTGCGAAGAAGTAGAACGCAGAGTTAAGTGGCACAAACAATTTCAAACCAACCACGACTTTCTAAAACAACATAGATTCACAATAAAACTACTCGACACAGAAACAAGGATCATCCATGATATCAGTTCCTACTCAAACTTATATTCCCCAAATATTCCCTCCAGTTGCACATCGATTTATACAACTATCATCCTTCCATATCACTATATAGACAAAATTCCGGAACACAACTCGATCATCCACATAAGGGAGAAAAGTTATCGATGAACAAAGGAGAGATGGTGAGTATAAGGACAAGAGTTGGTGATATGACCCCAAGCTTAAGGTCTTTATGATCAGAGACACGCAACTAAGATCAACCCAAAAGGTGTGATTGATCACAATGTTTCGAACTAAAGAGCAGGGTTTTGTTTGTGGAACTTGATGGAATTGACACGTTGAGCACTTGTCACGGGACAAGACTTCCGAAGCCCGTGCGACGTCTTTAGGTGCACTCAACCCTTAAGACCAGCCTCTCCACATACGTATGCCAAATGATTTCGCACTGCCATGGGCTCATCAAGGAGGCGGCAATAGCCCCCGACTAGTTGTTCCTTCGCTTGCAACGATCTCCATCATAGTCACATCCTGATTCGGCCAGAATGATGCACAGGAAGACAACGCCTTATCGCTAGAGTCTGCCCCTTTACCCCTCATGTGGCTAGCTCACCAGAAGGCATGCATTCTTCAGATAGTCAACACGGTCACGACACAGCTGGGGAAAGGCGCGTTCAATATGGGTAGGATTAGGAGCTCGCCACAATCGAGGGTGATCACTCAATTGATAAGAGATAAACAATCTTTGGAGTCCACCAAAGATCAACCGAAAACTTTCAAGCTTGAACTTGAAGAATCGTAGGGTTACTTTCATTAATCATAATCCTCCTTTTATAAGTTACAGGAGACCTTTATATAGGCAAAAGAAACTTCAGTCTTATGCTTACTAAACAAGGAAAACAACTACAACTCTAAAAAGGAAAAACAAACATGAAATAGCTAGAGATTCCATCCCAAATTCGGTTTTGAACTTGGTTTCTTGTGCCATAAGTAGCTAGCTTCCTGCACAAGTAACAAAACTGGCCTTCATATCAAATTCAGGCTCTTCATTCAAAGCCCACCAAGCTCATTCGAGCTCAACCAATTCCTACACATTCTTCAGGAAGTCTTGGACTTCCATTTTCAACTCGTAGCTGGCCTCGAATGTCTCTCAAACGCATTTAATAAGACTTCAAAGATGGTACCTCAAAACCGTCTCCAGATTTAGCCAATTTCAGCCTTCTTTCTTCCATGTTTTGAACTCTTCTTTAAGCATCAAAGAGAATGATTTTGGGTCATCTTGGTGCTTGCATCAGTCCCTCCTCTTTGGAAATTTTTTACATCAAAGCTTTTTCGTGCCTACAAGAGAGAACATCATCAGAATCGATCCAAAACGGATCTAGGTAAGCGAGATGCTTCTTTTCTAACAAGGATTACTTGTGCCTAAAACCTGCACCCCCTTTGCACTGCTCGGTCCGGTTCATGATAAGACCTTTGAAATTTGTTGATTATTGCCAATCACAAGCAATTCCTGGCCCATATCGCTAACAATCATCGACGACAGAGATATCAAAATCATCACTAAACTTCCCAGTTTTGTAATGAACTCCAGAAAATTCTGAAAAATTGAATTCAGTGATTTGAACTACCACAATCCACTGCTCCATTGAGCTTGCACCATCATCAAATTGAAGTTCCCGATCAATTACATGCTCCGAATGCTCCAGCTAAGTGACGAATCATCATCTTTAAATTTAGGGCTAATACCACTGGGAACCCCGAACTATTCAATATGACATTGATGTCCTGAACTATTTTTTTGTTAGTTTGAATTGAGTTTGATCGTTAATATTTAACAGAAAATTCAGTCAGTGTCATCGTGGCATCTGATATGGAATTTTAAATATTAATTCCTATTTATATTTTCATCTAAAATTATTAAAATAAGAAAAGTAAAAGTTGCAAAAATCGCCCAAATCGCCTTAATCTCTCCGTCGATTATGCTCCTAAGTCAACATCAATTTGACCAGCATCTCGTCAAACGTTATCTATAACAATTAACAAAATGTCAGGACATAAATGACACACAACTATCACACGTTGAGATACAAATGAAATATTGAATAGTTCGGGGACACAAATGAAACTTTCTTGATAGTTTGGTTTCCCAATGGTATTAGCCCCTAAATTTACTTCCATCGTCGATTTCAAATTTTCTCTAACCTAGAACATCCAACTCCAAATTGAGGATTCCGAATTCAGGCAATTTCGAACAGGTTTCTGTTTTACTACACCTTCCATGATCATGCAGTAACTAACCCCCATTGTTGGTTTCACTCAATTCGTGCTCAAACTCTCCGACGAGATACCCGATTTTGGAATCAAAATCATGTTTTTTTAGAGGTGATTTTGTCTAATTGGGCGTTTTCATTTGAAATTTTTCTGATGCAGTGGCTTGGATCGAATCATCTCCAATCGTCATGACGAGTTCTTCAGACGTCGAACTCTATTCCACCTTAGAAAATCAGAATCGTTGAACTCCAGTGGCTCTTAGTGCTTTGAATCCTTTCAGACCTGCGAGCATGTAACGCCAAGCCATTAAGCTCCCACTCTTCTCCCACATCAGCATTACCCCTCTGATCCTCACCGGGCTGTGAAGATCTGTAGAAACGCCCCGCATGGTCTCTACAAATCCCAATAACGGCGTGTGACGATCCGCTGGCTGTACCTCTATCTCTGATTGGACTACCGCGTGGAATGCGATTCTCAATAGCGTCCGACTCATACTGCTCAGACTCGTCGTCAATCTCGTCTAAAGGCTCAAACGGTGAAGTATGTTGATACCTCGTCCCAAAGTTGTGATTGGAACGACCTCCACTACCAACCATACTAGGCAACTGAAAATCGAACCGAGGAAAGCCATCTGCCTTCAATCTAATCGGTGGCTCTAGTTGATGTGGCTGTGGCTCATTCTCAGGCTCTAACTGCTCCCCCGCCCTATCTCTACGCTTTGACTTCTAATTATTTCTATCACTCATACTAATGTTGTGCCCATCGAATCTCCACAATTTCTTGTCTCTTCCTCTAGCATCACCAGATGACGCCATATCTAAACATAATAAATAATTATATATTAATATCTTATAATAAATTAATTTTTGAGCAATTTATTCACATTTTTTTTTATCATAGACTAATTATAATACATACAACTTATTAACTAATTAATTTAGTTAGATAGTTATTTCACTAAATATGATAGACTATTATTTTACGAAATACGATATATAGTTTTTGCTACTTTAATGAAATACACAATTATTTAGACTTTCTTTAATTCAATATGATAATTATTCAACTAACATTAAAGAATAATTATTCAGCTAACGAATTTACCACATTGAAAATTTGCAAATTTAAATAGAAGATATGTCCATAATTGACAAATCGAACATTTATACAATTAAATACTCATGATTTAACTAATAATTATATACTAATAATTTATTTTCTATAATTTATTCACAATGTTATATCTTTTTAACTATTGGAAAATTGAACATTTACACATTTAAATAATTAACAAATTACAAACACAATTTAACATCACTATTTTACATTTATGATTTAGTAACTAACAATTAGATACTAATTATTATACTAACAATCTAAATATCAATTAAATAATTTTTTTGCTAAAAATAAAAAATAAACATATATTCAACCGGACCGGTCAGCACCTGGCCAAACCCGTCCGGCCCGCCTCGGTGGATGGGGTTCGACCATAAAATACCACTTGCAGACGGCGACAACGGCGGCTCTGGGTTGGCGGCGGTGACGATGATTGACGCGGGGTGGACGGCTGCAGCGGCGAGATGTTGTGGTAGTCGGCGGCGGCGATTTGACTTGCCGGCGTGGTGGACCGAGGCGGGATGATGTGGTGGTCAACGGCGAGAAGATGACTGGTCGGCGACGGGATAATGGAAGGGAGCTGATGACTGGTCGGCGGCGGGATGATGAGAGGAAGCAGGTGGAAGAGTTTGGGAGGGAAGGGTGTGAGGGTTGGGAGACAAATAGGTTTAGGGGTTTTACAATGTAGAAGAGGCAAATTCGTAATATTTTTTTGTAACTATAGGCGGCAAATAGTAAAACCACAGGCTGAAAACAGCGATTCATAAACTCATCAAAATGGGAAACATTGACAGTGAAGAAAATAAAAGGTCAAAGTCAAACTAAGAACATGCATTGGATGCATGTTTTGCAAGGCCAATCTTTCGACCTTGGCGATAATAAGGAGTGACTTGGCCTCTTCATCGAGATCGACCATGCCCAATTTGAGCGATGATTTTGTTTTAGTAATAGTTTGATTAAGATCGTTGTACTGTTTGTATTGATCTATTTTTTATATATTTTGAACAAACGATATAATTGTTGTTTGTTTGATTTAACATAAACTATCACATTAAATGAGGCATAGTTAAATTTTAGTTTCAAATTAAATTATTGAGATAGTTTAGATGAAATTGTTGTATGCAATTTTTTTTCTTTCCTCCATCGATATCCGTGAGAAGAAAAGCACCAAAGATACGATATAAAATTATAAATAAAACTTTTGCAGGGGAGATCACAAAATGAAAAAATTAAACACTGGTTTTCAAGTGTACGAACCATGAATTGTTTTTTCTTTTGCTGTATTCGTTAGTTATTTATGTTAAAACAGAAGATAAAACTAAATATTTCATTAAAAAAAATTATAATTATTTAGATAATACAAAATTTATAATAAAAACAAGAATCACATTACGCCAAAAACCAAACCACCCCTAAGTACATGACTATTTCAGTAGCCACGCTGCAATTTGAGCTCCTCGATCAAAGAAGTCAAATGATTGTAAGAAGACCCTCCTTCCTCCACAGCTTTCCTCGCCATCTCTCCCAACCCCTTCGCCCTCCGCCGCATCTCCTACACCTCCTTGTCTCCCGTCGACATAATCCTCCTCACAGGCACAGCTCTCTCCACCGTCACCCCATAAACCGACTCCTCCTCCACCCCAACCCCTACCCCGATCCACACCACCTCCGTCACCAGTTTCTCGTTATAAAACTGCTCCGCCCCTACCGGCCACGTCACCTTCGGCAGCCCCGTCGCGACTCCCTCCAGCGTGGAGTTCCGAACGCCCCCACCGCCTCGTGCTCCAGAATCAGAACCTGCGGGGCCCACCCGCGGATAACCATCCCTCTCCCATTTATCCTCTCCTCGAATCCCTCGGGCAGCCAGCTGTCGTCCTGCCCGCCCCTCACCACCCAAATGAACTGTTGCCCGGACTCCTCCACGCCGATCGCGATCTCACGCATTTGCTGGGTGCTGAAGTTCGCGACGCTGCCGAAACAGATGTAGACGACGACGTTTGGCTCCTTGGAGACCAGCCATTTTAAGCACTCATCTTGGTCGATCACGGCTTGCTTTCCCCAGCTGGCCTTATCCTCCACGTCAGCGTTGGCAAGCGACACGGCCCCACGTGCCACGCCTAGTCGTCTTGTAGTGGTCAGCGTCAGCCGGCACCAGCTCGTAAAAGCTGTTGACCACGGTTCCGTATCCTTCGGAGTTGGTCTCCCTGACTCTCTTAAAAAAGCCCGACATGAAATCGACCTCCCCGCCGACGACCACCTGAGCGGCTGACGGTGGCAGCTAGCGCTTCGTCAGCCGGGGGAGGCTGGGCCGTAGGAAGGACTCGGTGTCGGAGGAGACGTGGGTCTGTGGCTCGTGGGCGGCTGCGACGAAGAGTAGCCTGGCCTGGGGATGCGGAATCTGGCGGCGGATTCGGAGGTCCAGGGGAAGAACATGTCGGCGACGAGACAGTATGGCTGATCCTGTTGGAGGAGGTTCTAGAAGGATTCCTGGAGGAGTATGGAGGCCTTGAAGAATTTAGAGATAGCTTCCCATCCCAGGTTACGGGATGAGATGAAGTCCAGATTCTCGCAGCCGTCGGGAAGCCCGGCCGGGGAAGTCGAGGATGCGGGTACGGATCGAGTGTTTTACGATGGTTTTGGAGAAGAGAGGGGCGTTGATTGGGGGTGGTGACGACGGTGGTCTTGACGCCTCGTGAAGCGAAGAGCTTGGCCATGTCGACGACCGGGATCAGGTGCCCGTGCGCCATGAACGGGAAGAAGTAGACGTGAAGCTGGCCCTCATTTTCACTGCCCATTTTGCTTCCTTTTTTCTTTTTCTGAGATGGGACTGGGAGGTAAGAAGAAAGAAATGATGGTTACTTACGGATTATTTCCCTAAATTTCCCATAATACAATCACCTGGCACAGGACGACGCGTATCGAGTGTTTCAAACTCGATTGACGTGGATCGAGTGTAACAGACTCGAACTAAATGATCTGGATCGCTGACATAGGCATCGCTCCACCATAGATCGAGGTAAGCGGGATCGATCTCCACCGTTCGATTGCAAAACCCGCGATGCAGTGGTGACGCGGATCGAGTGGGGGGAACTCGATGCAGGGGGATCGAGCGCCTCGGAAACGATCTGTTTGACGCGGATCGATGACGTCAGGCACGCTCCACCGTAGATCGAGTTCGCCTAACTCGATCCGTTTCGTTCGATTTTGCAAGACTCGAACACCTTCTGACGCGGATCGAAGGCAGCAAAATCGATGCGGTGGTTCGAGTCCCCTAAACTCGATCCACCTCCTCCCACTGCACCTATAAATACCCCCTTCCATTCCACCAAATCTCACACCACTCCATTCTTTTTCCTCTCTTCCTCCCACCACTCTTGAAGAAAAAATATGCTCTGTGGTTGAGGCTAAGCCCGATCTTCCGCATCATATTTTTTTTCTTTAGTTTGGTACTTCTATCACTCAAAATTGTCGAGATGGATCCGAGTATTTACGATCATAGATTATACATTCAAGGCGGACCGCCAGTAAACGATTTGTTGAATGAGCAACCTTACCATTGGTCTGAAAGTGTTTGGGCAGCAGATCCGGTAAGCACTTCCTCATTTACTTTTCTTTTTTTAAATGTGATAATATTCTTCGAATTTATTTTTTGTATAATAATTAATGTTTTTTTTTTTGCTACAGGAACAACTTGACGTAATCACCCATCGGTCGCTATCTCGCTTGCCTAAATGGGATGATCGTATCGAGCCCTTCATTGAAAGAGCGCGATTGCTGAGTGTGCGAAAGTTTGTGGGGATGGAGATGGACAACAACCTTCTTACGGCAATGGTGGAAAGATGGAGAAAAGAAACGCACACATTCCACCTTCTAGAGGGAGAGATGACGATTACGTTGAAGGACGTAGCCATGCTGACAGAGCTTCCAATCGATGGTGATGCAATAATAGAAAGTTCACAGAAGCCATTGAATGGTTGGGGCCAATTTATAAGCGAGCGTTTAGGTATCAACATCCCCGAGGAAGCACAAGAAGGTCGTCGTGTACCACCTCTACACAAGTCTATGCTATTGATACCTTGGCTAGTGAGGGCCGTTGGGAAATTACCGGAGGATGCCACGGATGCTCAGATAGAGAGGTATGCTCGCATCTACCTGATTTGTTTTGGTTGGTGGATTTTTGTTTTCGAACAAGTATGGTGGAAATATGCATTGTATGTGGCTTCGAGTTCTTTTGGAAGATTGGGACGAGATTGGGAGAAAAAGTTGGGGATCTGCTTGTTTGGCGATGATATATTCCGAGTTGTGCAAGTGTACGGATCCGAAAACAAAGCAAGCGGGTGGTCCCATGTCCATCCTCCAACTATGGGTTTGGGAGCACCTTCCTACTTTCGCTCCGATCTGCCCTGCCAACAGTTGGGGTCCCGATGAGCCACTACGACAATGGGCTTATGGTGCTAGATGGATTGGAGCTATCACGAGACTCACCTCTCTAGACGGGTACCGCCAACATCTTGACTGTATAGAATTCAACGAGGTAACATTCTAGCTTATGATTATGAAATGTTGAAATTATTTGTCTTAGCCCATTATTTATTTTTATGATTATGAATCCTATTTGATTTATTTGTTGAAATTATTTGTCTTAGACTTAGCCTATGATTTATTTTTATGATTACAATTTCTATTTGATTTATTTGTTGAAATTATTTGTCTTAGACTTAGCCTATGATTTGTTTTTATGATTACAATTTTATTTTATTTGTTGAAATTATTTGTCTTAGCCCATTATTTATTTTTATGATTATGAATCCTATTTGATTTGTTGAAATTATTTTCTTCGATTTTAAATTATATGTTGTGTTGAAACTTAGGTGGAGTGGGATCCGTATCCGAACGGAGCAAAGGATTTGTACGAGTTGCGATACCCTCAGGATCGTCGACTCTGGTCGTGCAAGTTGCCTGTGATCTGCCACAACATTGTCGAGTGGCACCTCCCGAATAGATGTGTCCGACAATATAATTGGGCGCAACCGATTCCTCTCCCACCACCGGACGTACATAAGTCACTCCACAAGTACAGCAAGGATCTGCGGGGTACAATCAGTGATTGGCCAACCAAGCACCATAGATGGATTGAAATGTGGGAGTCTCGTCAGACGTATGCTTGATGGGATCCCAATGACGAGGCCAATGGGGTACCAAGATGAATACATGATTTGGTACCGCAAGTTCACAAAAAGATGGGTAACCAAACGTGGCGCCGTGATGTCATTGCATATCCCCCTGCACCTGCACCGCCACGTCCTTCCTCTCACGCCATTGAAGTTGAATCTCTCCCGCCATCACCACTAAGGAGGAGTAAATGTCGGCAAGAGCCAGTTACAGTTCCTGTGCAAGTACGAGAAGATGTGGCACTTCCTGACCCATACGAGTATGGATTCCCTCCAGTCATAAGGGAATTCGGAGAGGGATCATCAGGTCCTGCTCAAGGAGGGGGAGGAGGAGCCTACTATTCTTCATCATCTGGTCATCAATTCCAAACCCCGCAGCAAAGCGTCCAGACTCCGATGACAAATGTTTATTATGGTCCTCCAGCCACTGCAACCCCATCTCCATTGCCACGAAATACTGGAATTGGATATGGAGTTCATTCAAGGAATAGACGTCGAAGAGAGCGACGCGGATGTGGTGCACAAGAGTGAGGTGTTCTTTAGAGTTGTTAAGTTGTTCTATTTCTTTAGAGTTGTTAAGTTGTTCTATTTCTTTAGAGTTGTTAAGTTGTTCTATTTCTAATGACGTTGTTAAGTTGTTCTATTTCTTTAGAGTTCTTGTCATGTTCTATTTCTAATGACGTTGTTAAGTTGTTCTATTTCTAATGGCATTGTTAAGTTGTTCTATTTCTCTAGAGTTGTTAAGTTGTTCTAAATCACAATATAAAATTCATATTACAAAATAAAATTCAAATTACAACATAAACTTTCAATTGTCAGTCGATGGCCCTGGACACTGGCGCCTATCATGCCCTTCAACTCGACATGCAGAGCACTTCTTCGGGCGGCGGCGCTGTGTCCTTGATCTATCCATTTCATTTGCAATTCGGTTAACTCTAGGTCGACCTTTGGTACGCTTCATGTGCCCGGGAGGGTACACTACTGGTCCATCATACTGGGGCCAATATGCGTCATGAGCTAATAGAAAGAACGACCCTTCCCAAACTTTGACCACGTATGGAGTCTTGTAGTATGGACTAAATTAACGCTTTTTGCTGCTGCATATGCATGAGAGCAAGGCAGGTGTCTCCCTTGAAACTTCCCACAAGTACACTCTCCTATTCCATTCCTTGCATCCAGTATGACTGTTTGAGCATTACCACCCTTTGAACTATGTGGTCCACTTCCTGTTACTACTGCGAAGCGGGAATCTCTTCGACTAAATAAAGTCACCTTATGCCATTTTTCCCTTTCCGACCATGGTTTCATATCATCCGTAATCTTCTTTGGGATGTAGATTCCAGCATTCAGCATCTGATATGCTGCTTGGTAGCGTTCAACGAACCATGTCACCGTACAAAAGAAGGTATGCAAGACTATAGATGAGATAGGCATTGCACGAAGACCAACATACAAACCATTGAGGCACTCACCCATGTTCGTTGTTGTTATTCCATACCTATACCCTTCATCTTGATGTAACGTCCACCTCTCAAAAGGATGAGTTTCTAGCCAATCTGCACCTTCAGAGTGGACCTCCCTTATGCTCTTCATTTTGTCTACAAACTTTCGAGTCTGAAAAGCAATAGCTACAATAAAGCAAAATAAGGTTAGTAAATGAGTATACGCATTCAACCAATTGATATAATCACAACATCTTATTTGTTCTTACCAGCGTGCCAAACTGCACGTTGTTCATAAGTTCTACCAAAGTGCTTCCCGTAATTGCTTTTGAAATGTCGTATGCACCAGCGCCACTTCCACCCTAGCTCCTCGGGCAAGTCGTAGAAAGCTTGTCTAATTCCATGGTGTCGATCAGAAAGTATGGCAATGTCCTTCCGTTGAGTGACACGAGTGTATAGTTGGGAAAAAAACCATGTCCAACTTAAGTTGTTCTCCGATTCGACTATAGCAAAAGCAAGCGGGAAAAGTTGATTAATTTGTTTAGTGTCAGAAGTGATGACACGATATTGAAAGCTTCTTCGCATAGCAGTTTCTTTCAATGCATCGACCACCTGAGGCTTTCCTCCAAATGTTTGGCCAATCACGAATCTAGAATCAGGAGTCCAGATAGGTATAGGAGGGAGGTCAGGATCTTCGTTGTGAGCATAGAGAGGATGTTGTGGCACCATCGTGTAGTGAGGTGTGGGGGGCTCAAATTCCCCCTCATCAACTTCCAGATCTTCACCATCTGAACTACTCATTGATTCTAACTCTTCATCTTGCACGTTGCTTGCCTCGCTAGTGTATGGAGGACTTGGTTTATCCACATACGGATCATTGTTGATGCCAAATGCTGGTGTAGATGCTTGTCTGGGTAACTGTCTGGGTGCCCTTATGTAATCCCATTCTTCACCCCATACTGGCCACTCCTGTCCGCCATGTTCCACCAATGGACCAGTTGCAGTTCGATCCTCGTATGTTGGCCATGGTGCATCATGCAGAACTCTAAAATCTCGTGAACCGGAAAACTCTACCTATCCTTCACCTTGTTCGGTATAACCGCCCCCACCATATTGGCCAACAACTTCAGTCTC